CGAACAGTCTGCTGCTCGGGAAACCGCCCGGTCGATTGTCATCGACATTGAGCCGTTGGGTAAGACTGCGCACTCTGGACAGTAAGGTCGAGAACAGATTCTCAGCGGTGAGCAACTCGAAACCGTCGTCGTCGTCGTCCTCGCCTGACGACAAGCTGTCGGCGTGCTCAGACGGCTGCCTCGACGGTCGCGAGCTCCTCAACCGGTGCATGTGCCTTTGCAGCAGGTCCTCGCTGTCCAGAGAAAGGATTGGAAAAATGAGTCAACGCTCAACTTTGCCGCAGGTCTGTACTTTATAACTGCGTTTTCTCAATTATCTTGTAATTTTTGGTTCACTTTCTCCCGTCTATATATATATATATATATATATATATATATATATATATATACACAAATTGATTTCAGCCAATAAAAGCCGCTCAAAGGCGTTGGTAGTGAATTGTAATTTCTCGCAGGAGGATAACAATGTCGGAGGATGCGTATTGAGCGGCTCCTATGACCAAAAACAATCTGTAAGGATTGACTATCCGAGAGCCTGAATATATACAGCTTCGTTTATAGAGCTTTCTGTTTTGTTCCCATCAGGACCGTGTAACTTTTCCCCAGGAGCAGAAACGTGAAAGGTGAAGTTCTATATTAAAAATTCCACATTTGCTTCGTCACACTCGCGAAAAGTTACACGACATACGCGTCAAAAATACACCTGCTTCATTTTAAGCGCAGAGAATGCAACTTAATGCGCCTATAAAGAACAAATCGTGTTTCATTTGCTCAATAATACGGCGCAATCGTGTCTACCTATGCAGCGAAGAGAACGGAGACTCGTCCTCGCTGGCGTCTGACAGGAGAGAGCTCATTCGCCTCGGCCTGCCGAATCTGGACCTCGGTGGGTTCGCGCTTGTCGGTGTACTGGTCTTGCTCTCCGGCTCAAGACTACCCGACCTGGGTGTCACGTAACCACCACCTTCCACGGCGATGGGAATAATATACTCCCGCGGGCTCTTCCTGATCGGTTCCGGCCCCACGGTGGAGCCGAGAGCGCTGTCAGTGTCCGAATCGGCCGTCGATTGACGGGATAGAGAGCTCGATCGTTGAGACATCGATCGTTGAGACATGGGTGGTTTAGGTGGCGAGGTGGATGAGTGTTGAAGGACGTGCTCGGGTTCAGTTTCCACCTGCGCTTACGAAAGTCACAATGAGTTTCTTCATGAAGTAAACGTTCAGTTTTGGACAGAAGCGAGCGATTTGTTGCTTCATACCTGAATAGGGATGATTCTCTCGCGTGGTGCAGCAGCCTTGGGTCGGCTTTCCGGTTCTAGACTAGAACTTCTGTTAGCTTGAGGCACCGCAGCCGCGACCGGGAACGCCACCTCCGATCTCTGCGTGCGCAATTTCTGCGGTTGAAAAGCATCGATCTTGGCCTCCACCTCGGATTTAAACGCCACCGTTTCAGGCGGTTTCGCTCCGGCAAGCGTGATCTCGGCTTTGCTCGTCTTTCGTCTGGGTAATGTTGCGCTCTTCAACGTTATCTCCATTTTGCTAGACATTTTGGGTTCCTCCAACTGCGATCTATCGCCAGTTGCCGTGTTGGACGCGCTAGTTATCTGTTAGAAAGATGGAAAAGGAGATGTAAGAGAAACAAGAGCAGAAGTAATGATCGAAAGCAGGACGAGAGATCGATCGAGTACGCATTCGCAACGTTAATAACGTTAATAGTCACAACACACTTACGGTTGCCTCGAGTGCTGCGGGTGAAGATTTCGTGTCGAAGCCAAACTTCGTCTCGACCGGTGTAGAGACCGACACCGTGGCTGATCTCACGTCATTCGGCGCCACCTGTATCTTCAATCCAAGCTTCTTCGAGTCCGAACTCTGAGGCGATATCGGCGGCGAGCCGTTCATCGGCTTCCTCTGCATCGGGGGCTTGCCGATGGCGCCGGTGATGATGTCGACGGCGCGTTTCTTCGCCTCGTCTCGTTTGTTATCAGACTTATCGTCAGCTGCTGCCATCGTCTGTTCACTCGTTGCCTGCTGCTGTTGCTTCTCATTCGTCTCGCTTTTCTTTTCCGTTGGCACATCGATGATCATTTTGGACGCGCTCGCTTTCGCGGGCGGAGGTGCGGTTATGGACGACAGGCTAGCTTTCCGTTCAAACGCTCGCTTCGCGCCCCCCACATTGACACCAGGAATAAATATCTTCTTGGGTTTCTCGCTGTCCGCGGTAGACGTCAGCTGATTGAACTTCTCGGCGGTCTCGAATATCTTGGAGCGCCGTCTCTCGACGGGTTTGGCGGGCGGACACGCCGCCTCGTTCGACAGCTCGGAGTCCAAGGAGAGCGCTTTTTCTTTGAGCTTTTTGAAGTCTCCCTCCGTCGGCTCCGATTGCTGTTGCGTGTCTCGTGGCAAGTACGCCTCGTTCCTCACGCTATTCGTGTCACTTTCATTTGGCACTTTTGATTCGAAGGCAGATTCTGATTTCTTGCTGGGCTGCGTTGTCTCATGCGCTATTTTATTATTATTATTATTATTATTATTATTATTATTATTATTATTATTACTCGAGCTCTCTGAAGCGTTACCGCCTACGTCCTCATAGAAACTGTTGCTGGGAGACTTGGTATACTTTTGTGGAGACATGTCCTCCACGTTGCTGACCTTTTGATTAGGCTCGTAGATCTGCTGAGCGCTCTCGGCGGACATCGGCTCGCGCGGCTCCTCGTATTCGTCCACCGGCGGTGTTTGGCATCTTTCCTTACTCAGCGATCTTTCTTTTGATTCTTCGATCAGCTCTAAACAAGCTGCCGCACCTTCGATCCTGTCCAAATCGACAGTCTTACTTGTAGGAACAGTCACGATGCCTGCTGCCGGCTCCACTTCCATCGCTTCCTCTGATATGGAATTCGGGATCGGGGCCGAATGATGTCTGAAACAACATTTCTCGATGACGGACGAACTCTCGGTGCTTTCCGCCTTTAATTAGAATCGAAGTTCAGCGTTCGGAAGATAATTACACGTAATAAGAAAATGTGTTGTACAAGTGATCAGGAAACAATTCGTTAGTAATTACACGTAACTGGACAATAACCTCACCTCGATGAGGATCTGTACGCTCTGGGTTCTCTCTCATCCGACCTCTCTTTCCGTCTGGACCTCTCTTTCCTCTTCACGCCCGCCGCGGCCGTCTCATCCATCGATGGTGTCGTCTCCAGTTTCCTCTTAGCGTCTCCCCCGGCCGCAGAAGATCTCGGCTCTTCATCGAACAGTTCCCTAATTCTTCTGTCAGAGCTGTTCTGATCGAGCTCCATCAAGCTACCGACCGAGTGACACCTCGTAGGCACTAAAGTTTCGGAAGACATGTTGTTCGCGACGTCTCCGCCCGCCTGTTGATCGCCCACAAGCAGTTTCTCGGCGCTAGCCGACTGCGGCACCAAGGATAGCAACAGGTCCAGCCGCACGGGTGTCTGAGCTGCCAAGTCCTCGGCGATGTCGAGACAATTCTGCTCATAGCCCTCGTTCACCCACCAATGGGTGCAAATTCTTTCGACGTCGGCGCGTCTGCCCGGGCACACGGTGAGCATCTCCTTTATAAGCGGTGAAGCAGCTGGAGTGAGGATACAGCGAATTAAAATGATAATCGCCATCGTTTGTGTTAGCAAACATTCTTCTCGTCTCACAATCAAACAGAATCGATAAGAATTTTTTTCTGCGAAAAATTCTCGCCAATTCCGAAATTTTCTAGAAATAAATTTCTACCATCATTTCATGTGTCAGATACGAGACAGAATTTAATTTTATCACGAGTAATTGATTTCAATTACCCTACTTTTGTGAAAAGTAAACCGATTCACAGAGCGTCTTACTTACGGGATGGCTTTTTCGGCTCAAAGTAATCGGACTGTGAGATCTGTTTGACTAGTCGCTTGAAGTTAGACCCGTCGAAGGGCATAGCACCGTAAACCAGGGTGTAGAGCAGCACACCTAAACTCCAACAGTCCACTTCCGGCCCGTGATAAGGAGTCCCTTTCACTATTTCCGGACTAGCGTACAATGGGCTACCGCAGAACGTGCTCAACAATCGTTGCTCGCCGAACACATTCGAAAGACCAAAGTCGGCTATCTTGGCATTTCCGACTTGGTCCAACAGGATGTTCTCAAGCTTCAGGTCTCTATGGCAGATCTTGTGTTTGTGGCAGTAGAACACAGCGGTGGCTATCTGCCGGAATATTCTACGGGCCTCGTGCTCGCTCAGAACCTTGCGTTCGCTCAGGTAGTCGTACAATTCACCGCCCGCTGCGTATTCCATCACGAGCACCATCTTTTCTCTGTTCTCGAAGACTGTAACGATCATCACTTTGTTAAGTATGTGAAAACTATTGAGTGACACGAGAGTCAATTTCGACGACTCATTTAATGCTAATTACTCCGCCTTACTTAAACACTAACAAGAAGAAGTTTCACACTCGTATCATTCGAATTTTAATGGGGGGCGCGAAAGTCACCTTCGTAGATGTGAATGATGTTCGGATGTTGAACACTCGACATGATCTGTATTTCTCTTCGTATCCTTATCAGATCCGCCTCCGTCTCGATTTTGCATTTCTTAATCGTCTTAATCGCCACCTCCTGGCCGGTCTCCTTGTTTATTCCTAATTGGACCTTCCCGTAAGTGCCCTGTCCTAGCTTTTTTATTATGTCAAACCTGCAAATTTACAATGTCATTTGGAAATTAGCCCCCGGTTATTTCAGACACGCTCTCTTCGCGTGAGACTTCGGTGTGGCTGGGACTTGTCGCGATATAATCTTTCTTCCGAAGCCGCACGAAAGCATCTTCTTTAGCAGTAGAAAAACGGATTACGTAATTCCTAGACTTGGCATTAATTTACGTACCTCTGCTTCAACTTTCGCTTGTGATTATGAAGACGCACACCACCCGTGCTCTCCATCCCCCCCATTATATTGTGTATACTTGGTTCTCCGACGACCATCTTGTCTGTGTCAATCTGAAATGAGAAAAAAACAAATGACGCATTTTAATGTTGTAGTAAAACAAAGGGATAAGAGGCTTTACTTTTATCTTATACTTTGATCTTTCAAAATTACAAAAGTTGCGAGGGAGAGGGAGGGAAGAGAGAGCTAGAATGCTACACGTAATAGCAAACAATATACAATAACAAGATATAAGATATAGGTAACGTGTTGTGCCGAGAAAATACGCAGAGACGATAAGACGATGAACGAGACTAGAATCCATAAGTTTGACTAAACGAGTATTAATCTGATCGATAAGAGGTAATCTTTCGATAAGAGGCAATCTGTTAATCTTATCTCATGAGATCTCATGTTCCGCTATATGTTGTACAATTGTTTTGTATATAATATGCTTTTTCAGATATACGTTGAACATCAAAGACGATTTTAGAGTTGGAGTTGAAGTGCAGACTTTTCGGACGTCGAGAATTCCGTGTTAATTTCATCCTGGCAGACGGGTGAACGATTCCCAAATCGTTTCGAAACGGCGACGTTATTGCGGCGCGATTCTCTCTCCCTCTCGTTCTCCCCCTCTCCCCCTCTCTCTCTTCCCTCACATTCTCTTCTTTTTTTTTTTAGACGCTTCCTGCCTCCCAGGCGGAACCGCCGGCATGTACGCTCCTACTCTCTCGTAAACGAGGATGACAGCGGCGAAGAGTATAGCTATAGCCATCTGAGTCTTACATTAGAAGATGAAGGTGGAGGCGAGGGATGAAAGAGAAGGAGAGAGAGAGAGAGAGAGAGAAGCAGAATGCGGTGAGTTTATTTCGGGCGTCGAGACGCCAGAGTGTGTGCCGACCCGTCGTCGGTAGGTTCCTCATCTGCATCGTCTTCTTGTCCTCTCTTGCCTGTAAACGCACGAGAGAAGGAGAGAGAGAGAGAGAGAGAGAGAGACTCCTCTCGTCGCTAATCTTCTAAAATTTCTCTCGCGCGAGCGCTCGACAATTCTTCGCGAATTATTCACGCATTCGATACGAGCGGAATTAATACGGAAACGTCAGGAGGCGTCAATCTCATTCGTCATTCACTCACTATTAGCGATTCTAATTATCTAATATCCATCTGAATCACTTGGTTTTACACTCGTACAGAGGCGCGCTCATGTGAAAAATGACGCTTCATCGAAACGTAAAATAGCCGATCGAACTGTGAGATTTTTGGCGAGTTTTTTGACCGAGAAGACAAGTCGACCTCGAACTTTTCGTTAGGTTGCGATTTGCCGGAAGACACAGCAGAATTGTCTTGTCACGACGAATCGGCGAATTCAAGTGTATGGTCAAGTATTATGGATCTCGTGACTTAAGCCACTCTCTCTCTCTCTCTCTCTCTCAATTCGTCGAGACGTCGATTAATCTCACTCTCGGGCGATTAATGAGGCATAATTGTTACCGGCTGTATAAACTATCGCGAGCAACGCGCCAGCTCTCGTTGTCTCGCGACGATTCTTCATCGCCGAAATAGCTAAGCGCCTTCGCGGTGTGTAAATTTTGGACGCTGCGATCTTGTCAAAGCGCGACGTTTCGTACATCGACAGTATAAATCATCGACGCATGTATATACCGTGCGTTTCTGCAGCGCTAGAAAGTTTCTCTCGACGCAATTCACGTCTTTGCCGTTCCTCGGCGAAAACGTCTCGATCGCAACAGCGATTACAACTCGTAATCAAGGGGCAAGCCAATAAGCGACAAGATAAATGATAACTCTCGAGTCGCGTGCAAGCAAGCCTAACCGGATTATATCAACTTCTACTTTTTGATTCTCAGTGAAAACTGAGACCCACTCGTTTTATCTCATTAATTGCATTTCTATCGATTCGTTCTATTAATTATTTTCAGCTACTTATCTTCGTTGTCCCTCTGGGGTTGTCGGAGAAAAATATGACGAAAAATAAAATAAAACATTATCAAAAATCTTGAGAAGAAGCGTCCTCGTGACTCTCGTATATTGAGAGAAATTTGATAAAAAAAATTAAAATAATTTCAATACAACCGCTCCAATTCTCCGATCCAATTCTCACAAAAAAAAAAAAAAAAAAAAAACCGACATCACAGAGCACAAAGTCCCGCCTCTTTGTCACTCTTTGAGATATTTTAGTAGCGACCTGTATAATTGGCGGTATTGGCAAGAGCGATGCATTTTGTACGGGCGACGAGCAATGTCTGGACGGCGGTGGCGTCGTTGCGCCCAGCCAAGGTCCGTCCGAAAGAAAATAATCTTCCTCTTGAACCGGGGCGGCCCTGCAGCCCTCTTCAACCGAGAGCGAGCGAGAGAGAGAGAGAGAGAGAGAGAGAGAGAGAGAGAGAGAGAGAGAGAGAGAGAGAGAGAGAGAGAGAGAGAGAGAGAGAGAGAGAGAGAGAGAGAGAGAGAGAGAGAGAAGGACGATAGCTCGTCGTCGCGCGACTATTAATGCACCGCAACATGGATAACGGCTGGCTCAAGTGCGGCGCCCGCGTTCAGGCGCCTCGACGACGGAAGGAGCGCAACTCTCCTCGAGGGTGAATGAAACCCAGAAGAAGCGCGTGGTCACGACGCCGTTTCGCCGAGGTCGATCGCGAGCGCCTTTGAGCAAGATCGGGATTTAGCAGCAGACGGGACGGCGGGTGGTTTGCATAACCGCGTAATAATAACGCGTGCACCACCGCGGGGAAAGGTCGGCCGAATTTTCGCGTTTGATGCAGAAGATTGTCACACGACGGACGTATTTTGTCAGACCAAGTTGCCAAGGATATTTCAACTGTTATGTAGTACTTCTCTATCTGCGTTTCAACTTCTTCGATATCGGATGTTACACTGAGAAAAAATTGTATCAAAATCAAACAAACGTTTGTTCGAGTACGACTGTGAATATACACTTACTTAAATTAAGCAATGATTTTCTACAATTCAAGAAAAATGTTTACATTCGGAGGACCTCTGTGTTTCAGTTTAGAAATTAGTCGCTTAATTTGAATAAATTTATTCGAACAAATATTTGTTTAATTTTAATACAATTTTTTCTCAGTGTTTACTAGGATTACATTCGAATTTCCACACGTTGAGGAGATACCGGTGTTTGATAAACTTAGATGTGTGTGTGTGTGTGTGTGTATGTGTTACAGTCAATGCGGAGGGATAGAATTTTGGAAAAATGCTGACGAAACATTCGGTCGCTCCCGATGATAATGGTATGAATTCGGTATCAGAAATGGAGGAGCGCTAAGAATTTGAGCGGAGTCAATGTCGAGTAAACAGACACGTTGCAGCAGAGACGGCGGTCGAGCCGCGAGACGCGTTTCAGCGAGCAGACAATAGCGCGAGAAGTGTAACGCGGATGCTGCTATGTGTCGCACCGAAAGTTCTATTGCGTGCAATGCGCGGTGCTGTCGACGATTTAGCAGCTCGACAGGATAGTCGACAATAAAAAGGAAACATACAATATGAGAGCTGATCCGTCGTGGCGTCGCACCAACAGCTCGACAGGGGCAGAGAGAGAGAGAGAGAGAGAGAGAGAGAGGAGAGAGAGAGAGAGAGAGAGAGAGATACATATTTTGTACGCTATTATTACTGTCAGAGGCGCGAAATAAATACCGGAGTTTTCTCAGAGGAAGCCAAGGTTGGCCACCTGCCTACCTCGCGAGCAAACGTCAACGGGGAAATTTTCTCTGTGCGACCTACTACTATTATATGTACGAATCGGCACCGATAGGAGATGTATTTATATTTCGAGACGGTTTCCGCGTGTCTCTCCGCGCGGGTCCGCACGTGCGCGCCCGCTACTCTTCACTACACTTTTACACGCGCACAATCGCCGGCTCTTTTAACCGTTAATCTCCCGAGGGTCTCTCGCTTCGAGAAGCCGAGGACCGCAAATGAGCGTCGTATGGATCGTGTCACTCCTTTTAAAAAAATTCCACCCTTTAAGCGATTTAACCTTCGACCGATCGCCGTCGCGGCCAACGCGAAGTGCGCCAATCGCTCGCGCGAAATAACAGCAACGGGGCGAGAGAGAGAGAGAGAGAGAGAGAGCGAGATGACGTCATAACGAGAATAGACGATCAAACGAAGATCCGTTCTGTATAAATAAAACGATGAAAATAGGAGAATGTGCTAGATGTACATTTTTCTCATACAAAAGATACAAGCACAAAATCAAGCGTGCCGAACGAGGAAGATTCGAACTAGAGATGTGCGAACTATTCGAATTCGAATCGAATCGACTCCGAATCCCTATGATTCGAGTCCGAATAATTCGAATAGGAATCAAATACATTATCGTGTAGCGTGCACCAGCTAAAAAACGGGCCATCTGGGCCTGTATGTTACGGAACCCGTAACTTATAATTAACTCAACTTATAATTAATAACTTAATTATAAATTACTTTAATTATTTAAATATATATTTTACTCTAAGATATTACAATATCAATATTCCCTTTCATATTAAAATCTTCCGTCATTATTTGCATGTTTAATAGTCTTGTTAAATTTTCTAATGATTCGATTCGATTTCATTCGATTCGAATTCGAGTGAAATTTCATAGATTCGATTCGATTCGAATTCGAATTTAAAAAATGAGATTCGATTCGATATAAAAATTCTTGACTCGCACATCTCTAATCCGAACTCGACCGCGTGATCTTCGAATCTTCAGGAGCTAATTCGAATCTCCGAGTCTGTGAGAGAGAGAGAGAGAGAGAGAGAGAGATCGAAATATCTCTCTTTGCAGGCCGGAAAATATCCTGATTAGAGATTTTAATCACATGCGATGCATTGTTGCGAAATAAAAACGGAGCCAACGAGCAAGCTTGTAGTGAAAGAAAGAAAAAAAAAAAGTCACCACGCCAAAGGCCAATTTCGTCAAAACGCTCTTGCATCCTCGCGCTGGAAAAGCGGATTGCGTCGGTTTCCACTTGTAAACCGCGCGAGGGTGATTTGCATCGGCCGTTAGTAATGAATCGTGCTAGCTGAATGCCGAGCAAATTTCCAATGAA